CAACTTTCTTAAAGGTAGACAAGATAATGTTCAGGCCAATGTAATTTCATGTCATATCACAATACAACGGTACCAAAAGGCAAAAAAACTCCACGTAGGTTAACCATCAAAAGTATCCAAATTTTGAAGTTAACATGAATGTATTATGTGCTATGTTTCTGTATATAGAAGTTTAGATGTGAGATTTGTAAAATACATAAAGAGTGTTGTGATATGCATGTAAATGCCACAAAATTGTTTTGGTATTGCTTTGGTGTGTTGGCTTTGTGGGGTGGCGGTTTGTTGTTGTTTATGTGTTTCTCGTGGAGTGTCATGATCTTGCAGTAATTCCTTTGTGGTTTGATGTTTCTGTTGGTAAATTCTATATAAAAAATGAGGTTTAGCCGTTAGATATGTCATTACATATCAATTGGGGTGTCTGTAGGGGAATTTTAAAAAAAAAAAAAAAAAAAGGAAAAAAAAATGTTTTATGGATGCTCGACAGAATTCCTTCAAGGAGTTCATGTATATAAATGCCCCTGATAGATTGGTGAAGGTAGTTTTTTGATGTGCAAATTTGAATATTATGCATGAAAATATGAAATTTTACTAGTTGTTAGATATGTAAATACATAAGAATTGTATGGCATGTATCAAAATGCCCCTTCAAGATTGGCGAAGGTGGTTTTTTGTTGTGCAGAATTGAGTATTATGCATGTAAATATAAAATTTTAGCTGTTAGACTTGTAAATACCTAAGAGTTGTGTTGCAAGTAGCTTGGTGTGGTGGATTGAGGTGGTGGTGGTTATGGTTTGGGGTGGTGGCTGTGGCTTGGGCCAAAAAGTGGTGGTAGTGGATTGGGGTGGTGGTTGTGGCTTCGGGTGATGCATGTGCCTTAGAGTGATGGTTTTGGGTTGTGGCTTGGGGTGACTTTGGGTCGGGTTGTGACTTGGGGTTACTGTGGGTTGGGTGATGGTTTTGGGCTTTGGCTTGGGTTGGTGGCTGTGGCTTGAGATGAGAGGGGTCTATGGCTTGGGCCAAAAAGTGGTGGTTGTGGATTAGGGTAGAAGTTGTGGATCGCGGTGGTGGTTGTGGCTTGGGGTGATGGTTTTGGGTTGTGCCTTGTGGTGGTGGCTGTGGGTTGGAATGATGTTTTTGGGTTGTGGCTTGGGGTGAGGGTTCTATGGAGGCTTGTGATGATTGGTGTGGCTTGTTTGCTATTATATGTTTGTTGACTTTGACAATTATGCTACAAACAATATTACTGCAAATGAGCATAATGATCATTTGTCCAAAATAGTTGTCTTGCAGCTATTTTCAAACCGCAGAAAACAAACAACCAGTCAGTTTATTCGCAACTGTTTTCTAGGCAGCTTAGTTGCAATAGTCTATTGATAAGTTGAAGCTGTCCCAAACAAACCCTTAAACTACTCTGCTTTGAGGCCAAATGATCGTGGCTAATTTATTGCTCGTTTTTAATTATTTTTGTGTGTAAATGTATAATTGCTATCTCGCCATCATGTATTTTGGTCTGTAAGCTGTTGATTAGTTACAGGCAAGTGGGGATATATGTGGATAGAGAAAATTGTCAATATATTTTCTTTTGTAGGAGATCATTTTAGTCCCCAAAATTTATAGTGTCAACTTAATCCCCATACCCTTTTAATATGAGCTGAAATAATCTCCACAGGGTACTATTTAATTCCTAATTCAAAGATTCCGAATTCAAAGAGCTTGGGGACTCATCTGACACTTTTATAGACTCGGGGACTAAAATGACGTCATGCTTTGCCAGCCTGCATTGTTTTGCAGGGTATTATTTTGCACAAAACAACCATTATTGTTTTTTTTTCTTCTAAAATTACACAAGATATAAAAAGCTTCACTATTCCGTTTTCGTATTCCTCAAACTCATCTACAAGAAAAGCTATTTCTTTTTTCAGGTGGAGGGCTCAGTGGATGAAAAATCAACTAACTCAGCTGAAGAGTATGATGACTTGGCCATGCTCGATGGCTTAGAGGATGGCTATTCCTCTTCGGATAATGAGCCACCAGAGGCTAATTGCAAGAGATTAACAAATGGGAGGCTTACCGAAATTAATTCAGTTAAGAAAATTGAGCTCTTGGAGCTGAGACAGAAATACCAACAGAGCCTGGATTTGCTCTTCCAGAATAATGAAACTTTGAAACAGGCATGGAATTCTCACTTTAATTCTGTCAAAGTACCATTTGCTTAGTCCAGATCTTTCTCTATATTGCGGAAATATAAATATAACACAAAATTTAAAGTTTCTGAGTCCCTGTATTGTAATACACCAAAACGAAGTTGATCGAACTGCCTGATGGATGGAAGAAATTGGTGGATCTTTTGTTCTGTATGTTACACAACTAGTAGAACTAAGGGACAGATTAAGATCTGAATTTCCATCTTGGTGTTCAGAGAATGATGTAGATAAAGCAGCAAGAGAACTTTTTGTGCCTCTAAATCGAGGCGAAAAAAGGTTTTGGCATTTTCCCTCACCTTTTACAGTGTGCCACGGTGATGGGAATGGTTTGTCCGTCTTCTCTATTTTTTTCATGTAGTGGATGGGTTTGTTGTGGAAGAAGCACGACTATGTGCTGCACCAAGTTCTTTGGTTGCTGTGGCTGTTACCAAATATCAATGAGCAGTGCTTATTTTGTACAGAAAGATGAAAATGCAGCTCCTGTTCTTGTTTAATTCGTATTGCTCCAGGCCTTACATGTGAGCCCACCAATCTCTTGGTCAGATGGCTTTTATGGAACATCTCTATGCTTCCTGTAATGATGAAGAACAGAAAATTTATATTGTTTAGTTCCTCAAAGATACCTTATAATGACTGTTTTTGTGTTTGGCAAGCTCCAGGCTTTCAAATCTTCTTGTTCTCTGGTGATCACTTCTTGTATTGTTGCTGTTAAAGTGCTTGCTTGTTTTGTTAAGAAAGTTTAGTATTAACTTATTTTATTTTTCTATCTGTTCTACTAGACATGTAGTAGTGGCTACTATTTGAATGATATTTTTGATGTCATATGATTGTTTTGGATGTTATGAATGGATAAATTAAAATTTAGGTGTCAGATTTATAAATACATATGAATGGGTGTTATGTATGTAAATGCCACAGAATTAACTTGAAAGATGTGCTATAATATGCAGAAAAAACCATCTTTTCCAATAGAGAAGCACTGGAGGCATGTTCGTGCACCGATGCTTAGATGCAAAATAGTGATTTTTAC